GACATACACTGTTGTACCCCAAAATTTGCCCTCTCATTTCTCAAGAATTTTCTCACAAGATTTCTATTGGGTCAAGACTGCACAAAGTTTGATCAGCTCAAGATACTTCCTCAACACTGATGATTCAAAACTAGAGTTTGAATTTGCACAAGTACAATTATACTTTTAATGTTCCATGTAGTTTCCATGGATTATATTGGGCTCTCAAGCATCAAATAGAAGAAGAGCAAGTTTTCTTTGATTCCTATGCTTCGATTGGGCATTTGACTTATTTTGAACAAGCTTGATTCCTATGCTTTGATTGGGCACTTGGCTTCTTTTTAGCAAGCTTGATTCCTATGCTTCGATTGGGCATTTGACTTCTTTTGAGCAAGCTTGATTCCTGCTTCGATTGGGCATTTGGATTCTTTTTAGCAAGCTTGATTCCTATGTTTTGTTTGGGAATTTAGGCCTCCTTCGACGCAAGCTTTAGTTCAGAGGCTTCGCTTGAACATTTGGCTTCTTTGAGCAAGCTTGGTTCCTATGCTTCGTTTGGGAATTTGGTTTCTTTTTTGAAGTAGGAAAGCAATCCAGAATTCCTTTCTTTTTGGCTATGCCATTTAGATCATCTTGCCTACTCAAAGTGATATATTCAGCTGAATATGGCCCAATCGAAATACATGCCATTGGTGGGAACATTTAGTTTTGTCTGCCCCTGAGTTTGGTCTAAGGTTGGACCTACTAGATCAAAAACAAAAGGATTCAAAGTGGTATGTTCAGCTGAATATGGCCCAATCGAAAGACATGCCATTGGTGGGAACATTTATTTTTGTCTGCCCCTGAGTTTGGTCGAAGGTTGGACCTACGTGATCAAAAACAAAAGGACTCAAAGTGGTATATTCAGCTGAATATGGCCCAATTGAAAGATATGCCATTGGTGGGAACATTTAGTTTTGTCTGCCCTTGAGTTTGGTCGAAGGTTGGACCTACGTGATCAAACACAAAAGGATTCAAAGTGGTATATTCAGCTGAATATGGCCCAATCAAAAGACATGCCATTGGTGGGAACATTTAGTTTTGTCTGCCCTTGAGTTTGGTCGAAGGTTGGACCTACATGATAAAAAATAAAAGAATTCAAAGTAGTATATTCAGCTGAATATGGCCCATTCGAAGAGCATGCAATTGTTGGAGACATTTAGTTTTGTTTGCTTTTGAGGTTGGTCGAAGGTTGGATCTATGTGGACAAAATGAAAAGACATAGTATTCGATTCAAATCATCAAGTTGAAGACAAAATCCATAGGCCATGCTAGCTTTTCAGGCCTCAAACTTGTGTCTCACTCTATAAATAATTGTTTACACAATTAAATTAAAATCTTACCCAAGTGTTTTTCCAAGCCAGCTTTCCCTTAATGGCATAAAGTTATCATTTCCATTTTTAGAAAAGCTTCTTGAGCCTTGCGCCTATCCCTTCTGCACACATGTTCCCTATAAACTAGAAGCAACAGGTCTAAGGCCTCCAACAACTTCAGACCATGCTTGTACAACACCTTGAAACTTATTTTCCACTTTTTCTTCAAAAAAACAAGTCCACCTTTAAATCATACAACAGAGAGACCCCTTGTGTCAAAAACACCTCTAACCTTTTCTCTATAAATATAGACACCATTTGCAAATCAAAGGGTCCAGAGATTCTTGTTGTGTTAAAAAATCCTCAAACACTCCCAAACTCTCAAAAACTTAGAATCTCCATCCAAAGCCACATTGCTTGTCCTTTTTGGTTTTTGGAAGAACCAACGCCAGAACCCTTCGAGCATCTCCCATTTTTTCCATTTGAACACCATCCATACACCACACCATTTCTCCCATTCGAACACCACATAAAGAGAAAGAGAGAGAGATTACTAGTCTAGAACACTCCAACAATCTCAAATACCTCCTTGCGTTCTTTGGGCCTTTCGATTCACTAAGTCCCCATATACCAGTTCTCCGATTCAAGTGATTTTTCAAAGCAAAGTAACAACTGGAATAACTTCAGGGAGGTTGAAGCAGGCTTAATCTATCACCAAACTGTTCCTGGAGGCTCTGTCGAAGCATATCAACTTTTGCTCCAAGAGGTAAGTTTTTTTCCCCCTTAAACATGGAACTTTTCATTCAAACATAATTTATATATAAAAATAAAATAAAAGATGTAGATATCATATCTAGGAAGTTGACCATACTTTAGTTTCGATTATCACTGCTTATACGTTGAGAACTTCAACTCTGACTAGTTAGGCTTTGATTATGGTACCAAACAAATTTGTGCTAACCTCTGATCTGTAGCTTTCAAAAGTTACATAGTTAGATGTGTCTTCAAATTTTAGACAGGCTTGATATTTATACTGTTCGATTTGGTTGAGAATCGAAGCTTTTGAAAATCTTAACATGGTGATACATATCCCTGCGCTCGAAGGAAGAAGAAACTGGGCATTTCAAACATTCATAAATGAGTTCATCTTGTATCTAATCGAAGTCATCTTATGAACGGGTGAAACAGACCACCCCAGTGGTACAAACAGCGCGTGCGAAAGGCATTTATGTATAAGGTCCTGGATTCAAACCTTGGCAGGACAAGAATAATATTTATCATTTGTTTGTTTCCTTTTTTTTTTATAATAAACTTCAAACATTTTTCCAATCAACCAAAACAACTCATTTTGAGTTGATTTTTTGCATACTATTTATTTACAATGTTTATTTTATGAATATATAAAAATATCACAAAAAAATATTTTATTTTCATAATTATTAACCAAAACCTTTCTTTAACAAAATCAAAACAACTTTATTTTCTTTTTATTCATATCTTGTACATTATTTTCCTTTTAATTCTTGTACATTATTCAAATTCAATATGGTTGTAATAGATAAATTAGGATTTAATTTCTTGCAATCTTCATTTGTAAATTTATATCCCCCATTCCCAAATGATGTAATAGTGTAGTAAATTTACTTTCCGCAATTTATCCCTTTAATATAAATTATTAGTAATTAGGGTGTGTATGGCAAGACTAAAACCAATGCTTAGAAAACTCCAATTCAAGACAAAATCAAGCATAAAAAAATAAGCACTCACACACTTACACCTCTAGGGTTAACTCCACTTGTTGCCTTGAAAAAATAGTCATAATATGCATGTGAGACGTCTTAGCAAAAACAATAAAAAAATACAAGATCATAGTCCTTCGATGACGCTTCAAATGTTGCCTTACAAATGATCTTAGTCCCTCAAGAAAAATACTAAGATATATCACAACATTGCTATTCATGACTATACGATGATCCACGCCCGTCCCTTTACATCCAAAGATAAGGCTTCTTACCAATCGATGGTAAGATAGCAATATCAAAGGAAGAGAGAAATGAACAAAAGACTTTTGAGTAGGTAAAACGTTCTTAGTTGCTTGCTCACAATCCATCTTCAAAACAAGCATCTTTTCAAAACACACCAAACACTTTCAAAACATGAAAATATTTTCAAAAAAGTCCAACACTTTGTATGTATTCTTATAGAGACGAGAATCATTATAAAGTTTGCCTCAACGAAGGCGCTTTTCAAAAATACTTTTAAAACTCATCACAAAGCATATTTTCAAACAAAACATTTTCAAGTGATCTAGCAAGCAACTAAGAGCTCATAGATAACTATGGATGAAAAGAGTGCTAACACCTTCCCTTTTCATAATCTACCCCCCGAACTCAAGAAAACATCTCAAAGGTCTTTCCTGTTCTTTTTACCATTTCCTTATTGGATAAAAGAAAAGTTGATGACGACTCTTGCTATCCACAACAATTCCGATCAAACGCAAAACAACCAAGTCAGTTCTCCCACCGTATTACATACACCCTTTCATCTAAAGGACCATTCAAAACTGCTTATTTCACATCTTAGTGAAATGTCGACCAACCTTGCTTACATGCCAAGGGTACCACAAATCTGACAGTCTCCAATCTTGCGAGATGTCCTTATACTTTAGAGTAGTCGAGTCCTGCTCTCCGAAGAAATCTTTGAGCTACTAATATCACCTTCTGTCTTGCTATCGATCCATCAACATTGTACTTCAACTTGAATTCTCACTTCATTTCGATAGCTTTTATGTGTGTTGACAATTCGACTAACTTCCATGTGTTAGGTTTAAATTATATCACAAAATCTTATCTATCTAACTATTGAAATATTTTAGTCTAGATAGAATCAGCAGAATAAAATATTAAAAGGTTTAATTCAATATATTTATATTTGTTTGATATAAATCGGATATCCTCTATTTACAACGATAGAGATTAACCTTCGAATCGAAGAGGAATTCAATATATTTATATAGTATTGATGTCTGATTTTGTGTCCCTTTAACATTACTGATTCTAAAAATGGCAATATTAATTTATGTAAAAGCAGTGAGATTTGCTTATACTGAGTTGAAAAATATAAGCATTTTTTGTTTATACTTGAGAGTAGAAACAATATTACCACACGAAGTGTATTTAAAATAAAATTTTGTAAAGTAATTCAAGAGTAATCTTTTATCGACCACTTTTAATAAAAAATAAATTTTAAAATAATAAAAAATAAATTGAATATTTCAGTAAAATTTACTATTCCCCTTTTCAACTACCACCATAATTAAAAAGTTGGTTCAAATAATTCAATATAATGGAAGAAGAAAATAAAATATAAATAAGGATCAATCGTTATAACCTCCTGCTTCTTGATAATAGCTGAGAGACACCATATTAACGTAGTAATACTATTGTACTATAATAATATAATGTTCCTAATAATTAGGTTGAAGGTGAGAGCAGCCAAATACAAAGAAAACAAACATAGTGAACACTGAAAAATCAAACTTAAACAAGTTCTACAAACTCAAACTACTACGTGCTTATAGCAGCATTAAGAACTAGGTGGAAAATCAAACATAAATTACTATTCCCTATGGCTATAGTCCTTCCTTTTAGCAAGCTTTGTTGTTGTATTGATCTATGGATGCGGTACTAAACCTCCAGCTCCATTTCCAATACTAGTTCCAGGGATATTGGGAAATATACCATTAGTACACCCACCAGGGAAGGTGCAAAACCTTAACCCATCAGGACCAAACCCTACACCTGCAGCAAAATTACCAGGAGTGCTTGGAAACCTACCATTCCCTCCTCCAAGATTGAAAGTCTCTGGATGTTTCACACTCTCCTGCAGCATCCTTCCTTCCACGTTACCAAGAATCACCAGCAAAAGGCTCAGCATCATCAACGCCTTTGTTACTCTCTCCATTTTGTTTTCTTAAGTACACTAGATCTATCTCACTCACTTTTCAAGGTTTACTTAGCTTTAATATTTTGAGACAATATTACTACACTTCCTTCTTTTATACTACTTGATAGTTAGTACGTTGCCAAGGCATTTCATTTTAATGTGATGGCCTTTATGTAAATACCTCACTTTAACATGACCACATTTGAAATTTTATAAAAAAAATATATCTTGCTTAAATGTCAATTGTTCTATGTACTACGTACAGGTGACAACTTCTATATTCACCATACAAGTATTATATCGTACATAAAAAAATATATCTTGCTTAAATGTCAAAACGAAGTAGATATATTAAATAGTGCAAATTTAAAACTTTAATCCATATCGTAAAAAAATGCAGGAAAATAAATATATCTGTCATACTTGATCCGTTTAATCAATCCTATTCAAAATTTATTCAGTTAATACAATTTTAATTTTGTCATATACATATAATATTTATTAAATTATTTAAATTTTAGATGATTTGAATGCATTTCAACTTATGGGCAGCCAACTTAATTTTTAACTATAGATGTTTTATTATCTCTATGATTAAATCCAAAATTACATTGAATAGTTTGAATATAATAGTATAACTATATAGGAAACTTCCCTCATAATTTATTTAAAACATTTTAAAACTAGATATTTTTTGGAACAACACTAGTACAATATTTCAAACCAATTTTTAAATTCCCAACCAACCAAGCCTGCTCTTATTAATGTTCCATTCAGGCCTGTCCTCAGCATGGGAGTAATGTTACCCCTGCTGGCTATTTAGGGAAATATACTTACACCTTATGTCAAATCATCTTTGTTGGTGAAAAATCATTAAGTAAATTTTATCAACACTTAGTATTACCGTTGAAGAAGTAATGAATGGCTCAACCAACGTTCAACAGAGAGGGTCCTTAAATATCTTTATTATAGTGACAGAGAAAGAGTTAATATACATTTCCATCTTATAGTGTGTTTCTTTGTTGTGTGTATCTATCTACCCAACTCATATCACAGAAAATTTTTCTATAAAAAGGAACTGGAAAAAGAGTATCAATAATGACTATAGTACTCCTATTTTTACCATGCTAAAACATAGAGTTACAATCAATAACAAAAAAGATGTTTAATGGTTGGATTATACAAACATATACATTGTTTTTTTTACAGTATCTTCATACGATGAGGACTCAACATAAGATATCTTGTTTTTCTTGCCATTATGAGTCAATTCAACGGCATCATCATCACTAGTTAGAGAAATAGCCGAAGATAGGGACTGGTTGATCTTTCTTGTATCATTATTACCCCCACAACACATGATAACTATAGGTGCAATTTGAGCTTGTGTGGAAGAAGAAGAGAGTTACTTTTAAATTTCTTTTATTGAATCAACTCTCACATGGTTTTTTTTTATAAAACTCTCCACACTATTTTATTGGTAATTAACTATTCTTAGTTATGGATTTTTACTTCCATAAGCAATGATTAGAAGCTTTAGTATCTTTTTTGTAAAATGAATCAAACTGTTTTTATATTATCTACGTAAAAAAAATGCTATAACGTGATAAATGGAAGAGTTGAAGTTTGGACTAAGTTATAAAAGAAAAACAGGAACAAACACAAACGTGAAGGTCCCGTAGCTCAGTTGGTTAGAGCGTTGGTCTTATGAGCCGAAGGTCGCGGGTTCGAGCCCCGCCGGGACCAATTTTTCCAAAATTTAGTATTTCAATGTTAATTAGCCATTTCAGCCATTTCTTTTTCTACTACTTTCATGAGTTATCAACTTCCTTTTATATATTTTTATTAGAGGGTCATATTAACCAATACTCTTATGAGAACCGATATTCTATAAACATCTTTTAAAATTCATTGTGATTGGCTCGACCAAGAGAGAAGAATTAATTTAATTACGAAAAAATAATAAAAATATTTTTTTTAATGTTTTTTGATCACATTAAATAAAAATATTCAAATTTAAATTTTAACAAATATTATCTTCCATTTAAATATTTTTATTTCCAATACAATATTAAATTAAAAAAGATTTTGATCACATCTCCTATTTTTTAAGAATTTTTATTTATCAAAACACTAAAATTTAAAACAAATTTTCATTGTAAAAAGTTGAAAGAAACATTTTTCAATACATTTTTTATAAGCAATGAATGTATTAATAAGAGTATTATGGATACTCTTATCCAAATACAAGTCAAGAAACAAAACGATACTAATTACACACATTTAACATATTCAATAGGATTTTGACACCACTCATAGAAGTTACATAATACCTTCTCCTTTAGACCTATAACAAGTCACTTCCATGTAAATACCTTAATTTTGAATATTACTTCACCTACATCAATAATGCCTCATTTGAAGATAATATCATTACGGTTCTTCCAAATGCACCAGCAAACAACTAACAAAAAAGTCCAGCTCTATGTTTTTTCACTCCTAACTTGTACAAATTATCTCTCACCTTCAAGAAGTGGCTACAACAATATGTTTTCTTCAAAGTTTCTACTTGAATCCATAATTGAATTTCATCTCAAACATGTCTCAACATAGTACAATAGATTATGACATGAGTGATATCTTCTTCTTCCCTAAAACAAAAAACACAAACTTTGTCCGATGAATTGAGCAAGATACCTCTTTTGACCAGCTGAGTTCTTGTTGCCAATCTATCCTGCAAAAGTCTCCACCTAAACACCTTAACTTTGATAGGAACTAAAGTGTTTGACATAGCCTCCAGTGCTAAACTACACATCACATTTAATGACCGCACTTCGGAAACCTGCATCCATTTACTATAACAAAAGGTAACCGAAAAACCATAGTCACAAGGCCAGACAACAACATCACTATGCTGCATAATGGGATTTACTTCCAGAAGTAGACTCTGTAAAGTCTCCAACTGAACCTGAACACTAGAGACTAAATAATTAACAATACTAGAAACATTACACGACCAAACCGCCCCTAACCAAAATTTGTACTCAGCCACAAACCCTTCTTTAAGCTCACTGGCAAGATACAATTTTGGAAATTGTTTTGATAAAGTCACTGAACTCAGCCATTTAGCATGCCAGGATGGGATATCTTCCCTGTTCTTCAACTTGAAAGTCACCCACTGACATATCCTTCACTCGCTGTAGAACCCACAATTTTCAATAGATCCATCCACCACAGTGAGTCCCCATTGTTCACCTTGTGAGTATCCCAACACCACAAATTTTTGCAGGAATTCTCATATCTAAATTGGATGATACTTGACCAATTGCATCCTTTCACTTAATATTCTCCATACCGATTTACTCAACAATGCCTTATTAAAATTTGCAATATCTTTAATAGCCAAGCCACCATCCTCTTTTAATCTACATATAGATTCCCAACTAATCTAACATTTAGCTATATTCTCTACCTTACCATACCACAGAAAATTTTGTTGGAGCCTACAAATTTCATTAATAACTTCCACTGGTATTCTGAAAAAAGAAAGATTAAACACTGGTAAATTGGATAACACCGATTTGATAAGAGTAATTCTCCCACCAATAGACATCAACCTTCCTTTCCAATATGACAGTTTTGATTTCACCATGTTCACCCCCGGTTTCCAGAAATTGATGCTTCTACGGTTACCTCCCACAGTTAACCCCAAGAATGTGAATGGGATCTTGTCCACCTTACAAGACATAAATGTTGTTGTTGCCTGCAAAAACTGATCAACAACCCTACAACCATATAACTTGCTCTTCATCGTATTAATTCTCAATCCCGATAACATTTCAAATGCTCTTAGTATTGCTTTTAAGGCCCAAATGTTGTTCCATGTGCTTTCCCCCACAAAAATCGTGTTATCCACAAATTGGAATAAGTTGTAAGATACTTGATCACTAAGGAAAAATTCACTCTACATACCCACAGAAATAGCCTCCCTCACCAAGCCCGCCAATCCTTCAACAACAATTGTAAATAGAAGAGGAGACAAGGGGTCTCCCTGTCTCAAACATTTACTAACAGGAAATTCATTTGTTGGACTTCCATTAACCAATATAGACATATAACTTGTAAAAACTCCTGCCTCCAACCATTCCAACCACTTAAGACAAAATCCCATTTTCCTCCACATCATCTTCAAGAAGTTCCAATCCACACAATCATACGCTTGTTGAAAATCCACTTTGAATAACATACACATCTTATTTTTTCTTTTAGCGTAATCTAGAGTTTCATTGGTTACCAATACACCATCAAGGATTTGCCTACCTGGTATAAATGTTGTTTAGTTTCTTGACACCGATTTACCTATAATCTTTCTTAGTCTCTTTGCAAGTAACTTGGAGATCACCTTGTATAAGCATCTAATAAGGCAAATGGGCATATATTCATCTAGTCTCTTTGGCTTATCACACTTAGGGACCAAAGCCAATAAGGATGATGTCATGGTTTTTGGAAGTTTGCATAGTCTATGAAACTCATGAACAAAGCTAACCACATCACCCCCCCATATCCCAACATATTTTTAGAAACTCCGGGTTGAACCCATTTGGGCTTGGTCTCCTATCCCCATCCCTTTCAAAAATTACCTCTTTTATTTCTTCTTTTGAAAACCCCTAATCTAGCTTCCTACTTTCTTCTTGAGACAACTTTTTGAATTTCATACTATCTAAGCTAGGTCTTGTTACCATAGGGCTTACAAATCTCTTTGAGAAATGGTTTTTAACTTCATCTTTAATTTCCTCCACGCCCTCAGCAGACCCTCATTCCGTTTATAATAACACAATGTGGTTTCTTCTTATTCTACTCTTAACCAAAGTATGAAAAAATAGGGTGTTCAAGTCTCCTTCAATGACCTATCTGTGTCTAGCCTTCTGCGTTAATAAACATCCCTTTTAGTTTAATTTACTCTACATAGATTCATAAATATTCTTCAATTTCTCACTTTTTCCAGCACTAATAAGATT